TCTTCTTTTGTAATGGGTCTGTTGAGATGTTCAATTTCGGTTTGTGTCAGTTTAGGTAGATTGTGTGTTTCTAGATATTTGTCCATTTTCTCAAGGTTTTCATATTTGTTTGAGTATAGTTTTTCATAATATTCTAATGTTAAATTTTTAATTTTAGTTGGGTCTGTTGTGATGTTGCCTGATTCATCTCTTATTCGGATTATTTGTGTCTTCTCCTTCTTTTCTTTTGTGAGTTTTGCTAGTGGTTTGTCGATTTTATTGTTCTTTTCAAAGAACCAACTGCTAGTTTTGTTGATAGTTTCAATTGTTTTCCGATTTTCTATTTCATTTATCTCTGCTCTAATTTTTATAATTTCTAAATGAAACTTTTAAGATTGTAAAACAATCCCTCCTTTCCAAGCTTTTTATTTTAGGAAATTATATTAATTTTAATTTTGCTTTGAAATGAATCAACAAATTTTTTTTTTTTTATGGTTTAACTTCCAATACCATAAATCTAAACAGATGCAACATACAACAACAAAAGTTCTTTCCGATCTTTTTAACAATTGAAAAAGTGTAAAGTGCCCAGAGGGAGAATCTCTGGTCAATATGAAACAAAAGGCTTCAGGTTTCACGCAGAGTGAGATCTCAGGGCGGGTTATGCCTAGCTCCGATCCGCGGGAGAAGCCTGTCCAGTAAGAATCGACATTTACAGCGGGGTGGGTCTCGTCCGCTGCGCATGTAGAAGCGCCCATCCCGAGCACGCGAAAACTAGGTCACAGAAGCCGAAGACCCTTTCAGAGCATTTTACGACACCGTCGTTGCTTCGTTGTTTCGGTGCCGTAAAGCAAGGCGCAGAGTTACGTAATAGTCACCCTGGCCGAGGCTGATGCAGTAGAGCGCGGCGATGGCGGACATGGAGTATCTGTTTGGGAGCGACGCCGAAAGCGAAGCTGAACGTAAAGGTGGGTTTAGGGGGACGGATGCGTGGCTGGGCTTCTGCGGGAGTAGCTAGATCCCCCCATCAGGCTCCGAGTCCGTGAACGCTCTGGCGTTACTGATCGGATGGAGCGCTTTCTCCACTCCTGCCTCCGCGCCCCCTGCACTCCGGGAGATGCCTCCTTCCTCCGGCTGGCGGGGATCTGGGATCGAGGAGCAAAACGCAGAGCCAGCTTCTCCAGGTTATGGGTCTCTTTGGGGCGCGCGTGGTGCCTGAGAGCCTGGGGAGCGAAGAGGGCTTGGATCAGGGATCGGGGAGCAGGCGAGGGCGTCGGGGTGGGGGGAGCCATCCCTGACGTCCAGTTCTCTAGATACTTGCACAGGCCGGTACAGGGACTTAAAAAAAAAAAAAAATGAGTTGTTTAGGCATCTGGGGTGGATGAGATTAGAGAGGGTCTCTGTCTTCGTGATGAAACCAGCAGCAGGACGTGAGTGTGACATGTCTGGGTGAGGAGTGTAGAATAGGGGTAACAAGACAGAGCTGCACAGTCCTCCAAAATAGATTGGAGTGAATACATCATCTGAAAGGATGTCCACAAACTCCTTCATTGTATCTGACAAGAATCATTCTGAAAGGATGTCCACAAACTCCTTGATTGGATCTGACGAGAATCAGTGTTCTGAAGAGAGAGTTGAAGGACTTGTTGTAAATGAACGGCTTCTTTGTGTGTGGTAGTATTAGTGCTCTTGTAAGCATTTCTGTCACAAGGACTGTGGATTTTTAAAATTTGAAATAATGAATAAACGTTACCTGAAGTGAGAGCGGCCGCAGGAAGACCACGTTCAGAATCCTTAAAACCCTCTAGGCTCAAGGAAGGGTATACTTAAGTAGTATAGATGTAGTTGATCAACTTATGTTAATCCATTACACAAGATCCATGCCAATTACATATATAGTATGCATATATACGATATAGTTCACCATTTGTGTTTTTTAATAAGTTTGCGATGAATATGGCATTGATTATAAAAAATTCTGTCTTGCAAGCTCCATGGTTGTTTCCTAACCCATGCCACATTTTCTAACCAGCAGTCATTTATTTTCAACTTTTGCATTCCAAGCCCAAAATTGTTAATGTAGTTCTAACGCTTATTTGTTTATTAAGTCTGAACACTTGTGTATTAAATACGAGTCTGAAGTCTTGAACAAGTATTACAGATTTCAAGAAAATACATTTCAGATTCCCAAAATGTTCTGGTTGGTATATTGTCTACTAGTGCTTTAAAAGGATTTTTATTTCATTATTTTTTGTGTGTACCGTCAAATCAGATCTGACTGGTACAGGAGGACATTGTTCCTCCTTCTCGAGCAGAGCATCTGGTGGATTTGAACTGTGCACCTCTGAACTTGCAGTTGCAGCTTCTTGCCACTAGGCCACCAGAGCTCGCTTTTAAAAGGATTTTGTTGGTTTGTTTTCTTATTTTAAAAAACAACATTTGGGAATATGAAATCCAAAAGTTAGATGTTTATTCAAAATTCTTTGGAATCCCTTGGTGACTGTAAACAGTTTAGATGTTCATAGGTTAAAAAAAGAGTGTAAATATCACAGTTTATATGGATTTCTCTCAAGGAAACTCATCAACCCTACACATCTTCACCAGGCATTTCATCCTGTTGGTTCTTTGAGTGGATTCCAAACAGCATGTGCTATGAGTACATTGCAGATATAAAACCCACTGACTTACAAGGCCACCTGAAATCCCTTTGTTTTGTTAAATCCTATCTTTTTTATTGATGATAGCCCCCAGAAGAAACATGCATCTACACTACTAGGGAGCTTTTTGACCTACTAGTTAGAGACTTGTGCTGCCAACTCAGTGGTGGGCAGTTAGAATCCACCCAGTGCTGCACGGGTGCAAGATAGGCTTTTCCTTTGCCATTTACAGCCTCTAAAAACCTGCTGATGGTTCAGCTATGAGTTGGTTCTGACTCTTAAGCAATAAATTGAGCTTTTTGAAAGATTTTTTTTCTTTTTTTTTTTCACCACCACCAACACCACTGTGCCATTTTATTAACCAGTCAAGTACAGTAGCATGTGGTAACATCAGGACAGAATTAGGATTTGAAAGGAAACATTCAGCATCTGACTCATTTGGAAAGAAGCTACTACATGCTCTTTTTGAAAAATTGTTTCTGAAGCCAAGCATGACCTTGCAGTTGCACAGTGTGTCTGGTGGCAGGATCTACATGAGCTTCAGGCTCCGGTATACCACCTTCGCCTCATCTGTGCCTGCAGCTGCCTGGCTTTGGAGCCCAGGAGCAGCGCTCCCACCTCCCAGGAGTGCAGTGTGGCTTGTGGCTGTGGCCGTGGCAGCAGCAGCAATGCACACCTCCTACCTTGTTGAACTTGGACACTGCACAGTCCTGACAGGTCGAACCTTAGAGGACTGATCCTCTTTGATGCTGACTTGCACCTTTGTCCACAGCCCCCATGCTTGACCTCTGGGGAACAGTGGATCCGGTCCTTCCAGCTCCAGCACCACCTATCAGTTCATCTTGATTACATGTTTGATTAATTTCAGACTGTACAAATAGGCACAAAGTTTCAATTTCTTTACTCTTGCCTTAGATAGCTGATATAAATTTAAATAATGGTATCATGTTGTAATTTTTGTTGTTATTAAGTACTGTAGAGTCGAGTATGACTCATAACTTCTTTAGGGCCACTTTTTGTTAATTGCTCCCCCCCGCCCCATATATATGAGACACACTTTCTTCTTTACATTCTCTATGATTTTTTTTGTTATTGAAGACTGTACATTTTGAATTCCATAATGTTGTAATAATTTGATAATCACTTGTCTCCCCCCAGGGGTTTTTTTGCTGAGGTTTGGTAGTTGTTCCTTATTTATTAACTGTTTGAATTCATATTTGAAAACTGTTCTTTGTTGTGTTTGGTCATTGAAATCTTAGTTCTTTTACCTGAATGATCAGATAGGATAAACTAGGACTTGAACAGAAATTCCCTTTGTCTTCCATATTCCTAGTGAGAACACATTGTTTGCATATTTGTGTTGGTTTTGCCATTACTCCCACCCATGCAGTTCAGTGCTCAAGACAGGCAGATTACAATCCTGCCTTAATATTTGCTTCCTGTTTATGTAGATTCTTAACCAGAGTTAGAATGTTGGTTACAATGTTGTGTCCAGTCTCAGATGTGTCTTAAGTATGGTCTTCTAGAAAGAATTGCTAAAATATGCGGGAGCTTTTAAAAGCTCTTTATTGCCAGACATCTTGTTCTTCAGCCTTTTTTCCCCAAACTTGTTGATTCATCTATTGTTGTCCTACATGCTATTCATTGCCTCAGAAGCTTGTACATTTTTACTCCTACTTTTCACTCACTGGCTATCTTGTTATTCACTATTTTAAATTTTTTTATAATGGTGGGCATAAATATACTGTCTATTTTATGTGTTGATGAGACAGTAGGCAAGGCAGGTGCAGCTGTCACTTGTCCACTCTTGTGAGAGTCTCGTAGCCTCTGGGAAGCTGGGTCATGATGCCTCAGGCCCTCTTCTCCTTCCTCTCGGTACAAACACTGCTTCCAACAGCTGTGCTGGGCTGGCCTCCTCTATAGCCGTGGTCTCTTGGTAAACGTGCAGGTAGCACTGAGCCAGTGAGCACCTGTCCTGGACTCCTTAACAGAAATGCTGAGAAGATTATTCAAGAAGCTGGACTTTATGAATAACAGTGTGGCATCAGGATTAGAGGAAAACTAATTAGTAGCCTTCATTATGCAGATGACACAACCTTGCTTGCTGAAAGTGAAGAGGGCTTGAAGCACTAGTTGCAGAAGATCAAAGACTGCAGCCTTCAACATTGAGACTGCGTCTCAATGTCAAGAAAATAAAAATCCTGACCAATAGACAACATCAAGATAGATGGAGAAAAGATTGAAACGGTTCATGGCTTTTTACTCAGTTCTACTATGCATACATGTGGTACCATTAGTCAGGAGAGTAGGAGACATATTGTACTAGGAAAGTTTATAGTCAGGGATCTCTCTATCTAAATTATTGAGGAGCAATGATGTCAGTTTGAGGACTAAGTTATGCCTGATTCAGGCTGTGTTCTTTTCAGTAACTTGCTGTGCGTCTGAGAGCTGGACAGTGACTAAGCATGACAGAAGAAGAATTGATGCCTTTGAATTGTGATGTTGGAGAAGAGTGCTGAATATCACAAGGACTGCCAAAAGAACAAGTAGATAAATCTTGGAGAAGAGGCACCTACAGTGGTACTTAGGCAAAAATGATGAATCTCAAATACTTTGGGCTTTTTGCTAGGAGAGGTTATTCCTCGGAGAAGGCTGTGATGCTTGGCAAGGTAGAAGGATGGCGAAAGAATGGAAAACCTTCAACCGGGTGGATCGACAAAGTGACTGCAGCAGTGTGTTTGAGGGTGTCAGAGATTGTGAGGATGGCATGAGATGGGTTATGGTTCCGATCTGTTGTTCATAGAGATGTTATGAGTTATACTGGGCTTGATTTCAACCTAACAACCACAATTAGGAATGAAGTCCTGCAGTTCAAAATTGCTATGGAGTGGTAAGGAAGGGGGAAAAGGCATTGGTGAAGGTGTTTGGAAGAAATGTATGGTAGTTTATTAGCATCCCAAAGTGATCTGATCTGTGTCTGGAGCCACTGCCTTGGTGTGGCCAGGCTCCTATGCCTCAATGGAGAGCCCTCTGTAAAAGCAGGGCTTGAGGGAATGGGAGTGGAGCCCTGGAGGTGCTTCCTCTAGGGAAACTGACTCAGCATAGAAGCAAAATGAGGTGGTTAAGCCCAAGCCCTCTAGTTCCATAGCCCAGTTTTATCCAGCTTTGTGTCTTCTAAGCCTCCTTCTCTGTAATAATCCATAACTGGTGTTTTCACAATAAAGAGTGCATCAGGAAATCTTAGTTGTTCTATTTCCATGCACATTTTTAAAAAATAATAAAAAATTGGAAAAATAAATGATCTGAAAACTGAGGAAAGAAAGCCTCCATTTTCATGTAATGTCCATTTTGCATAATGACCTGGTCTTTGACACGTTAATAATGTCAGTAAGTGATGGGTGCATGTAGATTTTTTTTAATTTTAATGAATAGTTGCAGAGATTTTGGATTTCCATTCATTCATTGTTGCCCTTTTCTCCCTGCCCAACCCTCCTGCCCAGTTCATTCCTCTCTTTGAAAAGCAAAAGAAAAATTCCTTCTTTGGTATACAATCCCTCCAAGATATTTCACTCAGCATAATGGCCTCCAGGGTCACTCATTTTGAATAATATTGCATGAGTTCCTTGTTTTTTAATGCAGCAGTAGTATTCCATTGTGTGAATATACCACAGCTTCTCTGTCCATTCGTTTGTTGATGGGCACTTGGTTGTTTCCAACTCCTTGCTATTGTGAACAAAGCCACAGTAAACATGGTTGTGCATGCATGTAGATATTTTTTTAAATACTACCCAGGACATTGCTTTACCACTGGAAACCTTTAATGGTGGGATAAACCTAACTTAACTTCAGCTAGTCTTCCAAGGAGCCACCTGACAGTCAAAACAAAGAATTAACAGATCTTTGCAAATAAGGTGCAGTTAGCATAATTCTTTGTTAAATAAGGTGTACAGAAAATGAGGACTGTTCTCTTCAAGGTATCACTGAGCTAGAGACAGGACTCAGGTAAGTTAAAATACCACAAAACTCTGTTCTCACAGAAAGTTGTTGACTTTTTAACATTAAGCATTTCCCTATTGCTGCAAATTCCCATCTTCTAGAATACTGAGAAAGTTGCCACTAACAGTTTTTACTAGCTTGTTTTCCCCCCTCCGTTTTGAATTGTTGTTACTTTGATGTTGGGATAGACTTTTTGGCTTTCTTTCTGTCACCTCTCTTTCCATGAATTTATGAATTTGAAAATGTGTTTTCTGTCATAGATTCTGACTCTGGATCTGACTCAGATTCGGATCAAGAGAATGCTGCATCTGGTAGTAATGCCTCTGGAAGTGAAAGTGACCAAGATGAGAGAGGCAACTCAGGAAAACCAAGTAATAAAGAACTGTTTGGGGATGACAGTGAGGATGAAGGAGCTTCTCATCACAGTGGGAGTGATAATCACTCTGAAAGATCAGACAATAGATCAGAAGCTTCTGAACATTCTGATCGAGAAGACAATGATGCCTCAGATGTAGATCAGCACAGTGGGTCAGAAGCCCAGAATGATGATGAAGATGAAGGTCATAGGTCAGATGAAGGGAGCCATCACTCAGAAGCAGAAGGTTCTGAAAAAGCTCAGTCAGACGATGAAAAATGGGGCAGAGAAGATAAAAGTGACCAGTCAGATGAAGAAAAGATGCAAAATTCTGATGACGAGGACAGGGCACAAGGGTCTGATGAAGATAAGCTGCAGAATTCAGATGAGGAGGAGGAGAAAATGCAGAACACGGACGATGAGGAGCAGCCTCAACTTTCAGATGATGAGAGACAGCAGCTCTCTGAGGAGGAGAAGGCTAATTCTGATGATGAGCAGCCGGTGGCTTCTGATAATGATGAGGAGAAACAGAATTCTGACGATGAAGAACGGCCGCAGCTATCTGATGAGGAGAAAATGCAAAATTCTGATGATGAAAGGCCTCAGGCCTCAGATGAAGAACGCAGACATTCAGATGATGAAGAGGAACAGGACCATAAATCAGGTAATACATTTATGAGTGCTAAGATTGAAGTTTTAGAGGGTTTGGAAAAATCTTTTCTCGGGCTTTAGAGTTAGTTTACACAGCAAATTAATTTTTCATTCAGCAATGAAATAGTTTTGGTGGGAGCCTTCATATACAGCAGCAGCCTGTTTGTTTTCTTGTTCGTTTTATGAGTTCACATTCCTCCTGTGTGCCACTTCAACTTTTCCTAATCCCACGTTTTTCTTTTCTGTTTTTCTAATCCATTTGTATCCCAGAGATCTCATTCCATATATTAATGATAGATCAGGAACATATTTTCAAAAAAATAAATTCATCTTAGATGTTTTATGCCAGAGTACTTTGACACAAGAGTTGTTTTTATTCAGTAACTTTGAATAGCATCTTAAGCTGAGAATAACTTTGGGTGGGTGCAGGGAGGTGAGGATCAGTGAGCAATGCTCCTGAACTTTCTTCACAGACTATAATGAGGGCACTTGACTCTAGTATATCTTTTAGGGATCCAAAGATCATCCAGAGGTGATCAGGCCCTAAGATAATTCTTAAGGAACTAATGTATAAAAATTAAATTGTGAAATTATTTGTTTCAGTATCCTCAGTTGTTTTCTTTCAACATTGTATTCTTTGTCCAAAGATAGTCTGTGTTGCTTTTGTGTACCTTTAAGTCAGAACTGACCCATACATTTTCAGCTGGTTTTCAGAGGCAGGTAATCACATGGGAGGAGAGTGCTCCTCCTTCTCCTATGGAGCAGCTGGTGGATTTGAACTACGTGCCTTTGGAATTGCAGCTCAGCTTCTTAGCACGAGGCCATCGAAGCTTCCTAGAGATCATGTATAGTGGGTGTCAAATTATAGTTGTGAGCCACTTGGGGAATCATTAAACTTCAGAGCTGCTTGACGGGAGAAGGATGGGCAGTCTCCTCCTATGCCATTAACTGCCTCTGAAAACCCACTGGAGGGTCAGCTGAGGATTCCATCTCAGTGATATTCACCACCACCTCCGTGCAATGCTACTGTGTTACTCTTTGTAACCCTCCTCTCCCCTTTTGTACCTGGCAGCCACTGATCATCTGTTTTGGACTGTAGTTCTGTTTTAGAGAGTATCTTATGAACAGAGCATATAGTATATAACTTTGAGATTGATCTTCTTGCACTTGTTGTTGTTGCCATTAAGTGCTGTTGAGTTGTAGACAACTCATAGCGACCCTATGAACGAAAGGCCTGAACACTTGTATAACTTTTCATCGTTTCTCCAAGTTCATAGAGTTTCTGGAGCAAGTTATTTCAGAAGTGGATGCCACTCCTGCTTCCATGTTTGCAGTTAGCATAATATATTTCAGATTCCTCCAAATTGCTACATGTATCCTTCATATTTCTTGGTTAGTGACATTTCATTATATCATGTACCACCGGTCCTTGGAGAAGGACATCATGCTTGGGAGAGTGGAGGGACAGCACAGGAGAGGAAGGCCCTCTATGAGGTGGATTGATTCAGTGACTGGGATAATTGGGATGGGAGTGTCAGAGACAGTGCGATTGGCACAGGACAGAGCAGAGTTTAGGGCTGTTGTACATAGGGTCGCTATGAGTTGCAAGCGACTCGATGGCACATAACAACAACAACAACAACATGTACCACAGTTCATCCACAAAGTTGCCGGATAAATTGTGTATACTGCACTGAAACAGATGAGGGACTGAATAATTTAAAAGCGGTGTATGATAGGGCATTATGGTTATCACAAGAGTCCACAATTAAGGTTGCATAGTGGAATGTACTTGGGGTGGTGGGAGGGGTGCGGGGGGGATTGTGTACCAGGGAGGGAGTGTTTCTTTTACTTTTGAAAGAGAGGAGCGAACTGGGGGGGCCGGGGGGAGAGGTCTGGGTGGGTAGAGAAGTGCGGTAATGATTGAATGGAAATCCAAATTCTCTGTAAATTTTCATTAAAATTATTAAAAAAACAAACAAAAAACACAGTAGCTTTAAGACTGTGATATAGCGGTAACTGTGCAGAACTTCTAATTCTGCTCTTACAGACTCTGCAAGAGGCAGTGATAGTGAAGATGAAATTTTACGAATGAAACGCAAGAATGCAGTTGGTTCTGATTCAGAAGCGGGGAGTGACGCTGAGATGCCGAAAGGTATATCTGTTATTTTTTTTTTTAATTGTTTTCAGTTGTGTTTTGTTTGGTGACAGCATCTTTGTAGTTCCATTTCCAGTACTCTTCCCTGCCCGCTTGAGATTTTTGCTGTGGAGTAATTATTCACTTTTTTGGTTTGTATAGATCGTTTTGACAGAGAACTTCATTCTTCTTTATTTTGTTTGCCAGGCTGTGCTCTTCCTGGAAGGTGACTTAAAAGAACAGTTTCAATTGAGGTTTAAAGAGTATTTGAGGACAGTAATCTATGGGAGTCTTCTAGTCTTAACTAGTCCAGGAATGCTGTGCTTGAAAGAGTTCTAGATTGTTTTCTTTCTCCTATTTTAATACTCATGCAATATTTTTCAAAATGGGTGACCCTGGAGGACATGCTGAGTGAAGTATCTCAGTCACAAAAGGACAAATACTGCATGGTGCCACTGTTGTAAAACAGGACTGAAATTGGGGTTAGGGGAGACTGAGAAAGATGGGTTCAATAATGTATACTGCATTGAAGCAGATAAGGGAGGAAACAGCTAAAAAGGAATGTGTGATTACTTATTTTTGTCATGACAGGAGTCCAGAGTGAAGGCTGCGTAGTAGAGTGGACCTGGGGGAGGGTTTGTAAAACAATAAAAGAACTTTTGTCTTACTTTTCCAAGAGGGTAGTGTACTAGGGCGGAGGGTTGGGAGGAGAGAAAAGTGCAACAGTGAATGAATGGAAATCCAAAGTCTATGTAAAGTTTTACTGAAATTAATAACAAATTAAAAAAACAACAAAAAAAGGATAACTTGATTATAAAACATTCCTGATAGAAAATTTGGCAAATGAAGAAAAGAATAAGAAGGAAAAGAAAAATTGGCCTCAAATCTGCTGCCTGTCAGTAATTTGGGTTAACATACTGTTGCATCTATGTGCTGAGGTATTTTTATTTCCAACCCTCTTTCTGTATTCTTGTGAGGTAGAGTCTAGTCAGCTATGATTCCTGGTTACCCTGTATACAACAAATTGAAACTACCCAATCCTGTACCATCCTCAGACATCTCTACTGTTCATAAGCAACAATGTTGCTGCAGTCCTTCTCATTGAGAATCTTCCTCTCTTTCACTGACCTTTCACTTTTCCCGACATGATTCCCTCTCCTCAGACTGTGCCCTCCTGATAACCTGTCTGGAGTTTGTGAGGTGTAGTCTCACCATCTTCACTCATAAGGACCACTCAGGCTGTGCTCCTTCCAAGACAGATTTATTATTTTGGCAATCAATGGAATAGTCACTGTTGTTCTTTTAGAACGTTACTATTGACAGTGGACAGTTTGAATCAAGAATGGATTTGAATTCCGAATGGTTGTCATGAGACCAAAATAAGATTATGTTGCATTATTCGAAAAAAAAACCACACCAAAAAAACCCCACCCCTATATTGTTGTTGTTGTTAGGTGCTGTCAAGTCGGGTATGACTCATAGGGACCCCATGAACAGAAGATCTGAACCCTGTTCTATCCTGGGTCATCCTCACACTTGCTCACACAAGAGCCCATTGCAGCAGTCACCACGTCAGTCCACCTGGTTGAGGGTCTTCTTCTCCTTTGCTGACCCTCCACCCTTGCCAGCATCGTGTCTCATCCAAGGAATAGCCCCTTCTAGCAGTATGCCCAAAGCATGTGAGGGAAAGCCTCAACATTTTTGCCTCTAAAGAGCACTCTGGCTACTCCCTCTTCCAAGACATATCTGTTTATTCTCTTGGCCGTCCATGGGATATTCAGTGCTCTTCTCTAACCCCACAGCTCAAAAGTGTCAATTGTGCGCAAGCAAGAAAAAAAAAGTTTTTTAATCTGCACTTAGGGTAATGCTGACACTAGAGGCATAGATTATCTCCAAAATGTCTTAACAGCCTAGAGATATCTCCCGTAAATGATTATGAAGTCACATGCTGGCATTTCCAACCCATACTGTAGTTGTGGCTTACAGCCTCCTCATGTAGTGAACTATGCAGTCGAGCCAAGTGAGCTGAGGTCAATCTTTTTTCTTTAGGAAGATCTCAGTGAACCCATAGTTGAGGGCAATATCCTTCCCGGATGTGTGGGTGCAGCACATATGTCTCTCTGCATCTTCCATTGCTGAGAGTGCTGGGATCCTTACTCTTCCCATGATGAACAGAAATTCCAGAAAAACAATAAACAAAATGAGGGTTAACTATATAACTATTCCAGAATACAGTGGTGACATGATATCCTCGTTTTGTAATTATTAGAAGACTAGCGCACTCTTGAATGTTGAACATTAAGGTTCAGGGAACTCTCTTAATAGCTTGCTAAAGTCCAGGAAAGGATTGTTGCTTTATTAGACGTTGCTAGTTATAACACAGCCTTTGTAAAAGTTGATGTACATCTTAAAAAGATGCATCTAGCCTGTGGTCTGTCATGATCTCACCTCTTTGACAATTAGAAAGAAACTTGACGTGAGCCAGATACTTGATGCAAGCCAGATGAACTATTTGAAATTAAAAAAAAAGCTAGCGTTTGACCAACTCCAATTGTTAAAGTGCATTCACATGACTGCACTAAAAATGTAAAGGTCGGAAAGAATCTGTGGTTGAAGGAGAAAATTCCTCCTCTGGAAATCACCCATTTCCTTTTAAGATGGTTTTGGAGCCTTTGCCACATGAACAGTTTAACATAGAAATAAGTGGATCTGCCAACAAAGGGATGGAATATGGGATGGCAACTTATCAACATGTTTTGACATGAACCTATTTAAAAGTGTTTAAGCAAATTCTGGGAAAAGGAGAATAATGTTTTCCTCATTTGATATAGTTATTTGCACAATGGTCTGGCAAAAGCAGAACAAATACATTGGATTCAAGGAAAATCTGCTGTTTCTCCAGAAATCATAGCACACAGATCTCGGGCACCTCCCTTTGCAGCAGGCATTGCAGAATTTAGAAATCTGCTGGTGATATAGGCATATTGAAGACCTCAGAGACCCTGTATATATTAATGAGCCAAGAGACTGTTTGTATTCTGAAGAATTTTTAATTAATAGTCTAATTTATGACAAGTAGTTGCTTTTATAAAAAGTTTCCATGAAGTCCTAGAGTTCTTAAGCCTCAGCTTTGAATAGCTGTACTGTACAAGAACATTTTGGGCTCTTAGAGTAGAAAAGAAAGTGGAAGAGCCAAGGATACAGGAAATGAAGGGAGAAAGACATGTCTCCTTGCTGCCTTCCCATTCACTAGCTTTGCCCCTTCCTTCACAGAAAGACTATGAGCTCTTTGAAAGTGGCTTTTCTGTGGTTTCCTGATCAGAAAACATTATGAATATTTTCAGCTGATTACCTGGGAAGAACCTTAGATTTAAAAATTAATATTATTCCTTTTCCTTCCCTCATTCAAGACAATAATGAAGCCATGGATCTATTTGGAGGTGCAGATGATATATCCTCAGGGAGTGATGGAGAAGATAAACCACCCACCCCAGGAGAGCCTGTTGTAAGTGAAACTACTAACATAAACTTGACCTCTTATTAAAGGCAGACTATATATGTCATAGGTTAAGGGTCTAGCTTAGGCAAAGAAGATGGTGTTTCCCATTGTATTATGATGCGGATGTACAATGACCAGACAGCTCTCTCAGTTCCTTGTAAGAAAGGTTTGATTATAAGGGAAAGGAGAAGTAACCACCCATTATGAGGTCGGTTAGTGCCACGCCTTCAAGGGCTACCCTGTGAAGACCTGTGACTGAGAACCATTCACACAAATGGTGTTTTGTTCACCCCAACAAATGTGTGCTGTATTAATGATCTTTGAATTTAGTTGTTAGAGTTACTTCACATAGTAAGTACTGTTGTTTAATTCCACATTTCTGTTAGTAATATTTGCAAGATGGATTTATTACAAAAGTCATTTTCTTATACTGATGCATCCACACCGTCTTTTGGGAGTTGGGTAGAATGGAGATTGAGGATTGCTTTAGCTCTAAAGTAATGTCTGACTATATTTGTCCACCTAAGTCACTAAAGTGCATAGGTTGACGTAGGCCGTTTCTGAAGTGCCTTTGGCACTTCTAAAATGCTTTGGGTTTTTTTGTGTTTTTTTTTTACTAGGATGAAAATGGATTGCCTCAGGATCAACAGGAGGAAGAGCCAATTCCTGAGACCAGAATAGAAGTAGAAATACCCAAAGTAAACACTGATTTAGGAAATGACTTGTACTTTGTTAAACTGCCCAACTTTCTCAGTGTAGAGCCCAGGTAAGCAATCAAAGATTTTTCCAGCTGTTGAATGAAATATGTGGGGTCGTGTTATTTATTTATTTTTTAAGGAGTTGATTGATCGATCGATCACACACACACGCGCGAAAAGGATTCCTCATTATCTCTTAAAAGAACATAAGCATGTTCTGTGGTAGAAAGCGTATCGGCTATTGAAGGGAGACTTTTCATGTGATTTTAGCAGTCTGAGGCTTTCTTGCAAATGAGTAGCTATCATAATTCTTCAGGTTGTTTTTGACTAGTGAAGTTCTGACACACTAGAGTTGAGACTAAGATTGATTTGAAAATCTGCAAATGTCCCATGTAGAAGCCATTGTAGAATAGAAAAACTAGTAGTTTTGGATAATTTGGGGTTAGCAGTTAAATACTATTCTAGTCACTAAGTAATATGCAAGCTTGTGTGTGATTTAAATTTTTTCCCACCAAGCAAAATAATGTGGAAAGCCAAGCCAAGGGTAATCTGTTTTCTGAAATACTTACAGAAAAAGAATAAGGAATTTTGTGAACATTTAAGCTCACTTGTACTTTATTTTAAATAAGATGTATATATTAATACTAGTTTTGAAGGAAGCACTTGACTATGAAGATACAGTGATTTTAAACAGTAACAATAATCCTTAACAAATATGGTTAATAATTTATTTCAAACTTTGCAGACCTTTTGATCCTCAATATTATGAAGATGAATTTGAAGATGAAGAAATGTTGGATGAAGAGGGTAGAACCAGGTTAAAATTAAAGGTACCGTCCCATGCGTTACGGTTTTCTTTGGAGAATTGAGCTTTTGAAAGTGTTGGTTTTGGGGGTTTTTTTAGGTTTCCTTCCTGTCAACAAAGGAATTGTCCCCTTTTTCAGAATAGTTTAAGGAGAGAAAATATACAGTCACTATCCATTTATCTGGTAACCTAGTCTTAAGGAGGGGCACTCCTAACCCAAAGGCCACACTTTTCCTG